AGAATATTAAATTATAATGCTTATAATTCTGTAACTTACATCTGTATGAGATTTGGTCTGGTTGACAGGTTTTCTGGGACCAATGGAAGACAGCAAAAGAGCAAACCCCTCTAATAAACGGTAATAAAAAGAAAGTGATTCAACAAACAGCAAAACATGTTTATAGCAAAGTGCTAGGGACAAACAATGTTGACTCATTACAAGATGTATTAACATAATTTGTTTTAATTATAAAACTTTTTAAAAATACAGAAAATAAAAATCACTCCACTGTAATCATGAATTCATTATAAGCAATTTTGCTATGATTGTGTTTTGCGGTACATGTTTAACAGTAAATTGATGTTATTTACATGACGTGGTCATTACAAGGACTGTGAATTTCTGTTAATTTTTATGCCCTTTGTGTTGAAGAGTACTACTAATACATCTTGTGTTCTAAGCAAGACAAAATCAAATGGAATGATTTCTAGCCAAGATTATATAGCTGCACATTCCCACAGAAAGTAAATGAGTATATGTTATTCTATGTGAAAGTCAAATATTCTTGTTTGGGAAACTATAAACTATATATATTCAGACTGTTTGAAATGTACGTACCTGTTCTACCACAACTAGTGGCCATATTGTTCCAGTTGATGTGGTCACCTCGAACACAGGCTTCCTGTCCACTTTCTGACATGTGTCTCGTGTCTGTATGAACTAAAAAAGTAGATACACTGTAAGTAATCTTTATTTAAAGGCTTTCTGTATAAAATCTGAATATATGTTTATAACTTATCAATAAAACAATTTAATAATTTCATGGGAGTATAAATATGTTCTTAATTTTTGCCTCAAGGTCTAAAAAGAATCCCACAAGGGAAATAACTCTTCATAGGGATTTAATATCACAATGGAAAATGATAAATTTTTCAAACTAAAATCCACTTAAAAATAATTCATGATAAATTTTCAACACTTTGTTTAATGATACATACACTAAGCCATATATGAATATTAATTACATTAATACTGAGGCCTTATTCTAATCAAAGGATAATCAGAAAAAATCTTTATAGAAATCTTTCTCTCTCACTGAAAGTTTATGGAAAATTTATGAGCATTTTGTGAGCATTGCAACAATTTTTTTTAATCATATTGATACCTTTTCTTCATCTCTGTATCCTAACTCAAACAGAAGAGCATTAGAAAACTCTGTAGGGTTTGGCAATGAAATATAGTCTTCTCCATTCACTAACTTAGCCTTCTTCTCAATGAGAGGATAATGTCTAAAGATAGAAAAAAATATAAAAATTAAATCAGTAGCAATACATGATTTAGCTTTGTTTATAACAGCTAAATAAAAGTCTATTGAAGTTTCTAATAGTTTGAATCAATTAAAGTGCTTCGTTCTTTTCACATGTACTACAAGTTAATGTAGATCCCTTCCTAGATAATTATACTTTATCTATAATTTATCTCTTATTCATAATGTTTTATTACTTAATTTATTTCAGAGTAAAAATTTTTACAAGAAAAAATAAATTACTTGAAACTTGTATTAATTTTATTCAAAAATATATACTGTATTCAACTATTCATGCAGGGTTATTTTCACCCTTTCACACTTGGAAACAATTTTGCCCTATTTTAAATTTTCCCAGTCACAGCTAGTTCTGTTTAAGGAATTATACTGTGTTCTTTGACTTCCCCCATTTAAAATTCACTCACCTGAGAGTAGGGAAAAAGGGGCGAAAATTTCCCTGTAAATGATATATTTTCTTTGATCAAGATTAAAGTTGATGGCATTTAATTGCTCCTTTAACTGTAGTAACTTATCCTTTTTTAAGCTAGGACTAACATTGATAGATTCAATGATTTAAAATATGATATGTTGATGGGTTTTGAGTATACAAACATAGGTTTTTCATTAACTGAATGAAAACTAGTGATAGTCAGATTTCAATTCAGTGTATATGTCATTGAAGAAATTACATGTAAATATTTACATTTCGTAATATTTTTCCTTAAGATTCTTTGCAAATTAGAAGACTGTTCATTTTCTCATGAACTACCATGGATGAGCATGAATATCTCCATTGTTACGTCACAATACCTTACTTGATGTCAAAACTATAGTGCAAACTGTTTTGCTTTAAAAATGACAGTTCAATGGCGTAATTTGTGGTAACTCATCAGAAAAATAATGTAAATATAAAAAAAGGAATTTCATTTTTGAAAATTCATGAGGTATATGAACTACAACACTTCATGCCGGCATATTTATCATGAACCGCTAACGCACTTCATAAAATATGCCGGCGTGAAGCGTCGTAGTTCATGTCCTCATGAATCTTCAAAAATTAAATTCATTTTTAAATGTACTGTATTTGTAAAAGGAGAATGCTATCTCGCAATTACACAATCAAATTCTCAGAAAGCATACACATATGCTCCTCTTAACATGCTAAATTCTCAGGATCTTGAACACGAAGGGACTGCTAAGGAACTTTGAGATATTCAAGGATTCACAAATTAACTAGGTATGCATTTGTGGACAAGATGAGGTCATAGAAAAGGCACAAGTTCCAGAAGAAATGAACTTAAATCTAAAAGATAAATAGAGAAAAGGGCCACTTAAAATGAGGAAAACACAGATCATACTAATTTAGATTAATAATTGATCGACTAGTCATAATGAATTAGTGTTTATTTAAAGACTAGGAATACATGCACATTTTAGGATGACACTTAGTTTATTCAGCCACTGGCAGATTGATAAATATATATTTGTCTGTAAAACACTGATCACAGGGACTTGTAGTTTTCCTTCATTTTAGGTTAGGCTAATAGGTTTACTTCGACAGTGGATGCAATGCATTGGTTTTGGTCAACGCCCCCTTTTTACTCCGAGAAAGATTCTTATGGCAGTTTGAGCAAATAACATATGAAGAATTTTGCAATACCTTAATACGATGCTGTTTTGCAATAAATCAGTGTTAGTATGCCGTACTATTGGTACAATCCATAGCGCCCGAATGCTCATGTCAACGACTGCGATTGCGAAAGTACAATGTTCCGAGGGACTACGAAAGGAGTGACCTGTACTTTCATTTTCAATTCTTTAGAGATTTAATTATTATTCACTCACTTCATGCATTTAAACATTATTCAATCATTGTTATTTTACTAAGCTTTATATTACTTTCATCTACGTTCATAATTTACTTTAGCAGCTCAAACAATCTTTAATAGATCTATCGAGAACGGCTAATTGTATTCGGCGCGTCGGCGCGCCAGCGCGTCCATCTCAACCCGATATCACAAAAGTATTTTCTCCCTGCATTAAAACACTCAAATGACATCGATTTTCTTTATAATTTAAGCATTATCGGTTATATTCAAGTCGACAGCCCGAGCCCGATTGTATTTTTTTGTTGGGTGGATCCAGAAATTTTTCCCTAGGAGGTGTTGGCTCAAATCGCAAGGGGAAGAGGTCCAAGGCAAAGCTTTAGTAATTTTACTATGTCAGTTCAAATAAATTTGAATTTTCCAGGGATCCGGATCCCATTTGATCCATGCATGCCTTACCACAATTTGTGCTAGAGTAATCCGAAATACCCCAATTTTTTGAGTTGGCCTATACTTTCGATTTCTCTCTCTCTCTCTCTCTCTCTCTCTCTCTCTCTCTCTCTCTCCAAACATTAACTATATACATGTATAGCATTTAAAAATATTTAGTGCTTTGGTTTTTATAAATTTTCTTTATGTATAACAAAAATTTACCGGTATTACGTAATGACCCTAGACATTAACTATATACATGTATAGCATTTAAAAATATTTAGTGCTTTGGTTTTTATAAATTTTCTTTATGTATAATAAAAATTTACCTGTATTACGTAATGACCCTAGACTCTAGAGTTTAACCCCCTTTTTAGAGACTTGATTATCATGGCAATAAGCCGCAAAACATTGGTATCAGTGTTTGACAAATATTCCTTGTTACGTATTAAAATATTACTACTACTAAAAATTAGCTCGTTCTTTATTTGAGCAGGGGGAGTAACTTTAGTTACAGATACATAAAGTCCTGCCTCCCCATATTGTAGTCTTCTCAACCACTAAGCTCATTACAAATCCAATCATATAAAATACATCTACAATGGTTCCATCAACATTCCTTAAACATTAATTTTTTTTTTTTTTTTTGTTTGTTTGTTTTGCAGAGTGAAAATTAAAATAGAATTTGATGGTCATTAAAGTAAGAAGCATACCAAAAAGGTTTATGATGACCTGTGTTTACGAAATACTGAATCATTCGCTGATTGCACAAAAATTGATGCCAATGAAAATTGATAAAACTAGTGTATTAATTAGTGGATAAAAGAATATGAATAAAAGAAACAACAGGCGGTTAAATAATGGTATCAGGTTCGTTCGCCCTATCTACCTGTTCGCATGAATCCGTTCGCGCAGGGTCCGTTCGCCATTATTCTTGTTCGCCCTATATCTCGTTCGCCCTATTATATATACAGTATATAGTAAATATCAACATTTATTATTAATTTTATTAAATATTTACGAATTTACCTTTATGCAAAACTCCCCGCTGAGGACCCGTCTGTGTATAAACGTTTGACCTTGCTGCATCAATGTAAATTCAAACTGCATTTTATTTTATTTTATCTTTTAAACATTTTTTTATTTATACTATATGCCATAAATATATTTTTGTGTTACATATTCTTCCAGTGTCTTGTTGTTTTTCATCTGTAATTACAATGTATGTTTCATGTAAAACGGACTTGTTCACTTCTCTGTAAATGAGCCCGGCCCTCTGTACTTCTCAGTACTTTGATTATTTATGATATCGAGCCCGATGCTAACAATATTGTATAAGCGATAATTTATTTTATAAACAAAATCTGTTGCGCGAGCGCGCCGACGCGCCGAATACAATTAGCCTCGAGAACGCACCTGTCGCACACGATGAGTTCCGGGTCGACTTGTTTGGGCAAGCAACGAGGTCGGTGTATTTCGCAGTAGGCCTATCAGGAAGTTTTTTATCAGTGTATACGTGACTACTTCCATGACGAGGTAGCCACGTTAGCTGGAAGGGGAAATGCCGAAGAAGGAGGATTCGGCAAAACCCTCCGGCCCTGATCCGGGGGGCGATGGGGAGACAGAATTAAGAAATCGAAAACAAGGTCGACAAAAACCTAAAGCAGAGCAGGCAGCAAATAAAGACCAAACTGGACAAGACACGACAAGTCCACAAGAGTCACAAGCACCACCGCAACAGCAACCTCTGCCGCAACAAGTGCCATACCAACAACCTGATATCATTTACATTCCTGCCAACAGGATAATATTTGCCATACCTAAGTGGATATGCTATCCTGTCTTGGTGATTTTAGCCATTGGCTTCATTGCCATGGGTGGGTATATTGGAGACAGGGTATGGAAGTATTATTACGGCATTGTCCCATGGGATCCTGAATCCGGACTGAAGAGCGTCATTGGTGAGGCTGGGGTGGATTTTTTCCGTCAGTATGATCGAGATCTGGATGGAAAACTATCCCTGGAGGAATATGAAGCTATGTACTACAGGCTGCTAGGAGATGGTGTAAATGTAAGGACAGCAATAATGTAGCATTTTATAATGGTACCATGTATACAGTGTTAAAGCTGGTTATTTAACATGTTATTAATGTTGGTAATTTCTTTAAAATGCAATTAATGCAAGTTATGCTGGCAAAATTTTTACAAATTCAAATCTTATTCAAAATATGAATTTTTTTCTGAAAATGACATGTTCAATATTGTTTCATGATTATTTATTTATACAGATAACAGCAGTTCCAGAGTACACGCAGCTTATTGATGAAGATGATGAAGTTTTGACAGCCAGAGCCAGCTTTAAACCTCTTCTGTTAGAAACCATGACAAAAGATTTCAATGAATCAGTAAGTAACAAACTTAATACAGTGTTATGAATATAATTTTTGATAATACTGGTTTGGACAGTACTGTTTGAAGTACAATGATTTATAGCTTTACACAACACTTTAATACAAAAAAGTTACTTTTGCTGTTTTGTCAGCTGTTGCATGGCATAATATGTTTGTCAAACAAGCAGTTAGGATTTTATTTCATTGTTGATATGGCACAGATGCTGAAATTTTGTTATCAAAATTCAAAAATGATATCCATGTGAATGTAACAGGTTGCTGAAATTGTAACATGAATCTTTTAGTATTTTAAAATGAAACTGACTGAAACAAAATTAAGATAGATCCTTCATATTTATCCTTTAATTTAAAATGTTTACCATATTATCTAAGAGCAAGAATACAAACAATGAAATTAGAACAAACCATTACAAAGTTTCAATTTTACTTTATAACTTTGACCTTTATTCTAGTTCTTGTCTGATAATATGGATTCCTTGATCGGGTTAAAGAAATGGACAACTTTGACCCAAGAATGGAATAATTATGGTGCTCGACACTTTAAAGAAGCCTTTTTCCCAGATGACCCAAAACTGCTCAATGAAGTTGGAGAAGTTTATGACATCTATACCATGGATGAAGGAATCTTTGCCAAATTTGACATGCAGATGAAATCCAGTAATCGCTACAATCCTCCTAAGGTGGAGGACAGACTAGTCCTCATTCATAGACTCTTAGCAATGTTCCATCCTCGTCCATTCCTCAGAACAAGGTTTGCTCCTCAGGGAGCCAAAGCCACTGTGAGGGCATTCAATGACAAATATGTTGAAATTGTATTTAGGTAAAAGTCCTATACATGCTATAAGTGTGTGTTGATTTTTTTTTCCTGGAATTTGTTATATTTAAAATTTATCTAGTTAATCAACTTTCCCTTTTCTTGCCCTGTCATTTTAAATCATTATTTTACATAATTCATTATAAAACAAACTAACATCTGTCTCTAATTGTAGGATCCATGCCGAGTTTCAACTCAATGAGGCTCCATATTATCCTTTTTGGTTCACACCAGCTCAGTTCAAGGGCAGTCTCATAATATCTCGAGATGGCTCACACATTCAGTATTTTCACATGTATGTTCCAACAGACAAACGTCTCAATATTGGTAAGTTACTTCATGTAAGCAAAGTTATACCCCCTGCTTGAAAAGCAGTGGTATATAGTGATAGGGATGTCATTCTGTCCATTACACTTGGGCTTAGCCATCCCTTATCCACAACTCCTCTTACATCACTGAATGCAATTTAATGAAACTTTCACAAAATCTTTATTACATAGTGACATTGTGCATCTCCTCTTTTACATTTTGGTCAGACACATTTTTGGGGTTTCCTATAGCAAAACATAGACACTGACATTCTTTCTATAATGTTGGGGGTAACCATCTCTTATTCACAACTCCTCTTATACCACTGAATGAATTTTAATGAGACTTTCACAGAATCTTTATTACATAGTGCCATTTTGCATCTTCTATTTCATGTTCTGATCAGACAGAATGTTGGGGTTTTCCATAGCACAACATGGACTTTGCAATTATATTCACATGGGGGGAGGGTTACACATGTAGTATTCTTTGTACTATCAGTTGAATAGAGAAAACAATCGAAATCAATTAGGACTTTGAAAAATAACATCCAAAAATGAAATATAAATTATTTACCAAAATTTTATTGCAATAATCAAGGCGAGCATTTTTTCTTTTCAATTTGAATACTAACATCTTGTAATGTATTTCAGACATGGAGTGGCTGAATGGTCCAGAAACAGATGAAAACATGGAAGTAGATATTGGCTTCATGCCTCAAATGGAGATAACAATTTCTAGTCCATCTAAGAAAGTCCCCAAGGAGGACCAAGGGAAAGAACTGCCTGAGGATAAAAACATGGCTAAAACTGTCCAGAATATGAAGTGGACAAAGGAAATATCCATGTATGATGCTGAGAGGAATCTAGAAATAGCTTTTTATCCTTTCAAAAAGGTAAAACTTGCATTATTTATTGTTTAGATATCTTCTTCTAATTCCCAAATTTTGTGCATGTGTACTGTAGCATCAGGATCAGTTAGGCAAGATTTTAATGAATAGATATTGCAAGTCCAGGGTTGTAAATAACTACTTGCCCTCTCACAAATGCCAGTAATTTTGCCTGTGGGCGACCAACTCTTGAGGATGTTTAACCTAAATGGCAAGTAAGAATTTTATTGGACCTTTTCCGGAACCAGATTGTGGATTGGTTCTACCATCAAATGCACTTTCATTTTCACTGTTTTCTTCCTATAAAACATTTTCAAGGCCTAGAATCATGTTGATGATACACTTCCTTAAAAGTATGAAAATTCCTTCAACATTTATTTAATTTTCCTTTTATGTATCATCGGTAGTGGGTTTTTGTCTATATCCTTTTAAGATGCACACTCTGTATTATTCACAATTAGCAGCTTTATGTTCTTTAATTTTCCTCCTGAAATAAGAATGTTGAAGATGTTTTCTGATTTTTTGCAGCTTACCAAGGGTTAAAATATTTCATGTTATGAACTTTGAATGTCGGCAAAGTACGCTCTCTGTTATTTTACGATGGAAACATATACAGTGAAACCTGTCTAATCCAACATGCACTGGGAGACGAATTTTGTGTCGGATAAACAGGAAGTCAGATTGCACAGTGTAAAAATAAAAGGAAAATCGTAAAATGGGAACGAAATTAAACGTGGGAATCCACAGTGTGAAGGATTGCACAGTTGTCAGATTAGACAGTTTTCACTGTAATTCAAAATAAATCCTTGAAGGGAATGAAAACATGGAATTTCATACAAATGATGTCGAAATCCATACGATGAAAAATTGAAAAGAAATACGTACTGTGGAGAATAAAATATTTTTCTCTGAGATTATAATAAAAAAAGAGTTTTTACTAAGTGAACAGAAAAATTGTGGTCCCCAAAATATCGATGTGGGCTAGTAAAACTTGTGAAGTTGGGTTCCCACATGGCCCCTAAGGTTTAAAATGTTATTTGCAACCCTGAATTCTCAGATATAAATATTAAGATTAGCAGAAGGTGACCTGTATTTTGTCATTATTGTTCTGTAAAATTAAGCCATTTCTGAATAACTGCCTTTCTAGTAAGATCAATATAGAAAAACCAGAAATTTTTTCATTGGATGAAATGAAATTCTGGTGACAGATTTGACATACAAGTACAGAACATGTGTGAATTGTATTGCATTTTTGACAGATCACAGAAATTCAGTCTATGTTTACATTGCAGATTGTGTACCACAACTTCACAGATGCATTTGAAATAGCCAAAAAAGAAAATCGTCTGGTTCACCACATTTTACTTTGGGGTGCGCTGGACGATCAGAGCTGCTGAGGTTCCGGGCGTACTCTGAGGGAAACGGCCCTCGAGAGTACGCCCATCCTGGCTCTCCTCAATGAGAGCTTTGTCAGCAGCTGGTCACTCGTGGCTGATTTGAAGGTAAAAGTGACACTAATACTAATAGATGTGTCTCATTTTAAGGCCAATACACACATATACATGTAAAAGTGACATACACAGTTTTATTGTGTTGTTTTTTTTGATATGAATAGTGTTTGACCCACACTTCCCTGTTTACTATTACTGAATATTTAGCTGTTCAAAAACTGTTACCCCTTCCCATAGATTTCATCATTGTGTCATAATGTAATCAATGGAACTTGTCATATTCAACTTCAAGTTCTTCTTGTATTCATTCCATTTCATTTATTTAGAAGAATATTACATGTAAACTAAGTGCTTTACAGTCAAATTATTTCTACACTTGCTAATAGGCACACGGCACACCATTTAAATATAACAATTCTAATGTATTTTTTTATGCAGATAGTTTCATTATTTATGTCCCCCTTTTCAGGAACTTGAGAAAGATCCTCATCAACCTGAGTACAGCAAGATCGCCAGTCATTTCTTGGAGAACTACAAGTTCCCAGTCATGATGATGGTGGCATTACCAAATGGCACCATTCTTCACAAGGTCAATGCCAATGAGTTCATGGATGAAGGGGCGGACGGTGAAACTGAACCCTCCCTCTTCAGTACTCTAACAGGGACATTTGGGTAAGAGTATGGGAAAATTTGTTTTTAAATTAATAATGATTAAAACAGGACAACCTTTGACAAGACTCTGCTAGTCCAAATTTACATAAATGTTAAAGTGATGCTAGGTTTACTTTCAAATAGATATATATATGGATGGCCAAACTTCTTCCAAGCCATTAAAGAAATCAAAATGATACATGAATTCCAATTAGAAAAACCTATGGTATTTATTTGAAAACTTGCTAAAATTTATGCTACAAAACAGAGCAACACATTAAACTTACGCAGAGCTATCATGTAGAGCTGCAGGATTAAGAGTTTCTTGATTGTTCCATTGACAATAGCTAAAAGCACTGCTGTATTTAAATAAGAAATAAATGAATCTTGCTATTGAAAGAGTCCTTGATTTCCTATTCCCTTGAGGTTTTCTATTGGAAAAACTTCACTTATACTCCTCTTAACTACCCTTAAGTTTTGATTTCAAATGTAACAGGAGAGGAAAATTTTGGCCAGACTTGGACACAAACCTTGAACCATCCCCTAACTATGCAGGTGTTCTTACCAGTTAGCTACCTGGTCAATGCACCCATGTCTTATTACACTTACTAAAATAATATTTTACATTTCAATTAATAATATTCATTTTTTATCATATTCATATTTAGCATTCACTTTGTTTTAGGTTACATTTGACTGTTGTCCAGGGATATACAAATAAATTGGAAATGATGCTATTATGTTATTTTATAAAGTAGATTTTTTTTTTAAACAAAGCAACAGTTTGGAAAATGTTTTATTTCATTTTATTATACTTTCATGTAAATTATTTGAATCTGATTGGTCAAGAAACATTTTTAAAAAAGCCATATTGTTACCTTCTGAGAACAGAAACCATGCCCTCCATCATGAAATTATCTAGCAACAGAAAATCTAACTTAATATTATATTAATTGATATTACAGTGTTTAAAAAAAAACACCTGTGTGAAGTGTATGTGCATACAGTTCACATTCAGCATAATAGAACAAATATTGCATGTAGTTAAGGGTAACATTGGAAATTTTCACTCCAAGAAAACCATTGTCAACCTCAACTGCTCATTGTTAGCCAATGAATTTCTTGTTTTTTTTTTAGCCGTCATGGTAGCTCAGTCAGTCCGTGATCAGAAGGTTGTGTGTTTAAATCACGGCTGACCTAAGTTGATAAAAAATAGGTAGCAACTCTTCCTTCACCAAGCACTTTGGAGTGAAAGTTGCTGGTACTTAGGATGAGACCTTAAAAACCGAGGCCCCGGTAGGCATTGGCACAATAAAGAACCTTCACTGCTCAATGGCCCTGAGTGCCGAGTAAAGGTCTAAATTTGAAGCCCTTCACCAGTATATGGTGACATCTCTATATGAGTGAAAAATTCTCGAACGGGACGTAAAACAACATACAATCAATCAATCTTGGGATTTTTAATGCTACCCTCAACTACATAAATATTTACCTATATATATACATGTATAGTGTATATTTGAAAGGAGCTGAGGTAATGCGAAGAAGAAGCATTAATGTCATCTGATTTTGTTTTAGATTTCAGATTTCAGGACTGGGAAACAGATTCACCAATAAAACAATAAAAAAAAAATGTTATCAATTAACAACTTTCAGAAGAAAAATGTTGCCAGTGTTTACTTTGCTATGCTTGTTTTTCTAATTTTTACCAATTTTTCATGCAGATTATTCATTTATTGAGCATTTAATTAAAATCAATACTTATTATTACATCTCTAAAGAGAAAAATAATGTAAACAAATCTCTAGATTTTAGCCAACTGTACAGAATTTAATGATGATCATATTCTCGAGTTTTCCTATAGACAAGAGCATTCAGCAGCCCTAGGTGTAGCAGAGATTGAATCATGTTGACGTACAAAATGTACAGAGTCTGACACTATGTTTTATCTTTCTTTGGGTATTTAGAACTGTATGCATGGAGTTTGGGAATATGAATTTGTCTGCATGGGTCAGAGATTCCCTTAATTGTTATAATCCCAATGTTTTGCATATGCATGAATCTTACTGTTTGGATTAGTTCCGTACTTTATTATATTGGTTTAAATCTTGTAAGCAGGAGACAAATACCTATTATATTCACATTCTATAAAGTAGCACAAGTATGGGTTTACTAACGCAATAAATTATTTTTTCTGCATGACGTAAAATTACATAAGAGTAATGCACAATTCCACAACAAGAGGTTAAAATTAAAACAATGCAGATGGCTTGCATGGATCTTTATACATTTAGGGGGAAAACATTGGATTTGTAAATAAAAAAAAATTATTAATTAAACACACTTCCGACAGGTTGAGTAGATACATGTAATCAACATAGGTTCCATTACTGGTATTTAAGTGTTCAGGAGTGTGAATTATAATGCCCATTTATTTGGGAACTTCTATCATGGAATAAACTTTTTACAGGGAATTCATCGAAAAAGTCAATCCCAAACCCAAGAAAATTACAGCTTCTAATAGGCTAGGAGGACCTCAAGGGGACACGATGTGCCCCCGCCTAAAACAAGATATGGAAAAATTTAAAGCAGATGGGTATGTATGGCCGTGATGACTTTAGTATAGTCTCTTCAACACTTGGGAGTGTTTAAAGAGTTTTACAAATCTAATTCTCACAGTTCTTGTTTTCGCTCACTTGCCATTGTCTCTCTGTTGTGAACTTAACACCTAATACATGTTTGGTCAACATTGCACATCACTCTTGGTGACATAGACCCTGTAGGAACAAAATGCATGGGCATGCTCATTAATTGTACTGTTATGGATCAATTTTGGGACAGATGGATTAGGATATGTAAAGAAGAGAGGGACCAGATATGATATTCGAATGTGGTTAAAGCAAAACTGAGATTTGATTTTTCACAATCTAGAACCATGTTAATGAATCTTGTTATCTCCCCTTACCATCACAACTACTCTAATACTTAGAGGTGATTATCTGCAGACCATGTTTTACCTGCTTTTAAATTTAATCTTGAAGGTAGTAAGAACTGTCCTGATGATGAAAAGTATTTCTAAAACTGGATTAATTTTGATAAGTGGCATTGAATTCTTGGATACTATCAAGTTTTTTAACCTAATTGTTTGTTCACTATGGTTTAGGGTATATTATGTACACACTGCTTATTTTTATCTGTACTAAGGTTTTGTGTATGCATTAAATATTCTGTCAGTTGTTGCTTTGGTTAACCTGTCTTCAGCCTTTGATAATGCTAATATATTATAATTTTTTGCTTGTTTTTAAGATAATTCATGAAAAGAAAACAAATCAAGCTAATATAGTAAAAGTTCTTTACTCTTTCTTGATGTAATTAAGCATGGAATTATTTTAAATAAGAAAGAATTGGGTTCAGTCTGAAAAAAAAATATTGTTTTTTTTTCACTGCATGCCAATTTTGTTGTAGATCACTAATTTTGAATTTTGATTTTTTTTTTCTTGGCAGATTTAATGGTCCACAAGAATACCACTACATGAAATTCCTACAGCATGCCATACAGAAATCAGCTCCTTTCATGCCTGATGCATTTTTTAGAACTGTGTAAAAATTAACACTCACCCCCTATTTTCAACATTGTCCATTTTTGTTGCAGATTTGAGGATTCACATACCTATTACTACCATGTTTTTCTGAAGGAGGGAATTAAAAGGTCAAAAGAATACCAACCATCTACATAAACAGAAATTCAGCTTCTATTTACAAATCACTGGAACTTTATAAATTTAAATGTTTTACTATAAGTTTATTGTATCTGGTTCTAGATTGTTCTAATCCATGCAAGTTTAAATCTGCAAAGAAATCCAATATTATGGACAATTGCCAAATTCATTTATTATATCTATTTATGTATTAAGATTTTATAAGTATTTGAAGTCCTTGTAATGTAAATAATTGTATGAGTCTTCTACAATCAGGGTATTGAACACACAATACCAGGTATTTAATATTATAGTAAATTATATTTCTATTAGCAATAATGGATCTCGTCTCTCGCTGTTACTGTTTTGGGGGGGACTTTTTATCAATTTATGACTTTTTATTATAACTTTTATGCTTTTTTCTCTTTGCATAATTTTGTTCTTTGTTTATATATCTCATTCATATTATTCTGTGAATTTTATGATTCTGATGATTTTTCATCCAATGAAATAGATATTTTGGCATATTACAGTCACACCTGCATCCATATCCTTGGATAATTTATTGAACATATGTTGTATTTAAAAACCTAACAATTATCAGCAACCTTTAAGATATTTATATATATCAAAACTTTAGAAAGTCACAAGCAAACAAATCAAAATATCAGTTTCATTTTTATCATAGTAAAAAATGATTTACCAAGACAGTTTTTACTTTAATTTATGAAGAATGTTTCATGTACATTTATATTATAATTGACTATCAGTTTTCTGTCCATTGATGACTTGAACTGTTTTTATCTGTAATGAAGGCTTTGTCTAAAAGTTTTTTTAAACTTGACATGGCTGGAGGAATAATAATGGGCAGACAACTCATCACTGACAGAAAAAATAATAGTCAATCCATATTAATGTGTATGTACCTGATAGCAGTCTTCATAACAATGCTCTTAGTATTATTGTAGATATGCTGTGTGATTTTGTAACCAGGATGATCAGTCTGTGATTATACTTTCTTTACTGCTTTATTTCTTGTAATAAAGATTTTAAAAATCATTATTATGTTCTTAATGACCAGGTATCATTCATTTATTCTGTATGATACACATCTATATGTATATTTGCACAATTCTGGGAGGAAAACAATGTGTAAAGTTAGCAAGACTTGCATGAATTAAACATTAATTTCTTTCTATGATTCAAAATAATTACTTCAAAGAGATTAGATCTAGTATATGTTCTAAGATATGGCAATAGACTGTGTGACTATAAATGAATGTGATTAAACAAAGGGGACACATGAAGTGTCACATACATGCAATATTTGGAATGAAGTACTATGCAGCCAGAGAAAGATGCTTACAATTTTGGAGTTAAATTGTCAACAGTATGTTATTCAAGAAATAAGATCTCATTTTTAGAGTTTCATTGGGATATGACATGAAGTTGGTCACTTCATCAAATTTTATAATGCCCAAAGGGCATTATCTAAAATTTGAACTTAAGAAATCAAAGTTCTTTTGAAAATTCAGGGAAGTTATTTGGCTTCTAAATCGACAGGAGTCTTCTGTTTAAGTAATAAAGAGCAAAATCTCACAGATAACTGACTTGAATTTTACGTAAATTACACAAAAATTTCATACCATGAACTTTGTCTTTTTGACCTCAAAATCAATATCTGAGAGTGATTTTTTAAGTCATTGGGAGTTATGATATCAATTTTCCTTCCAATATCTCTAAGAGATTATGCAATATCCATCAAAATGAAATCATTCAGAATATTTGAGTGATGGGGGTATTAATTTCAGCCAGATGTTTTACATGTAAACTTTAAACTTGATTTTTAATATAAACAAAAGAAATAATCAGTTCATTATTATTATTATATAAATTCAATTCAATTCAGTTGTTTATTTACCAATTAAGGGCCCTCATGGGGCAAAAAGAAAGTACATTGTAAATTAACATTTATATATAGTCATATACATGTAATACAATAGACATACACACAAGAGAGAAAGAGTTGCATGATTGATAGGAGAAAGACATAAAAAAAAGGAATAAACCAGATAGTTCTTACACAAATTCTGTACAAATAAAGATATATATATATATATATATATATATATATATATATATATATATATATATATTATATATATATATATTATATATAGATTTATTATACCCCCGCTCCGAAGGAGAGGGGGTATACTGTTTTACCCTTGTGTGTGTGTGTTTGTGCCCATATCAAAAAATAATACATAAAAGTATATTTTTAATATATTTTTAATACAATCATTTTCGTATTGTTTAAAATTAATACAGAAAAAATATATTATTTTTGTATCACCAACAAATAGGTAGATTATTTTTGTATTAAAATCTGACTTTGATTTTTTACAGGGTATTATTTTTGTATTTTTTGGGACTTAGATTATTTTCAGTATATCATTTTTGTATTTTTGTGGACTTAGTTTTTTTCAAGTGTATTTTTTCTGTATTAAAATTGAACTTAGTAATTTTACAGAAAATTACATACAGTTAATCTGTATTATTTTTGTATTAAAATTGAACTTAGTAATTTTACAGAAAATTACATACAGTTAGTCTGTATTATTTTTGTATTAAATTTGGACTTAATAATTTTTCAAAAAATACTATAGTCAGTATGTATTTTTTTTATATTTATTTTGGACTTAGTGTTTTCTTTTACTGAAATTTGTATTTCTTTGAACTTAGGAAAATTTACAGAAGTTCTTGCAATAAGTCTGTTGGAATTAATATTTTTTCTCAGATTTTATTAATTAAGACCACTGCTATAAAGGTTGCTTTTATACTATTTACATTTAATTGCTATTTAGAACAGAAAACTTCAGTAGTTTAAATTTGTTAACTAAACAATTTCATTTTTAAAACATGTCTTTACTAGGTGTGAAATTGTCATTTGGAAAGAGATAGATACGTCTAAGGGGACACCTGTGCTGTACATGATACTTGTAAACACGCGGTAAATTTTGAAGTTTCAGAGTTTCAGACTTTCTTTTTGTGTTGAAAATTTTACAGCGTGTTTACAACCGAGTGTTTACAACTATCGCCAAAAGCACAGGTGGCCACCTGCAGGCTAACAATAGACGAGTACATGTTATACTACTCAAAGAAATAACATGATTTACCCGTGAAAACACATCCCAACCAAAACAAAAACAAACAACATGAAGAGTTCCACTAAATACAGTACCTACGATGTTTTCTTGACTATACAACTCAACGTAGTATACATTATATTTAATTCAGTACGTATTACAATTACATGGAATAGAACTATTTAATTATCCGCTTTTAGAAAAAAATTAAATAAGAAATTATTACGAAAGAATATCATAAAATAATATAGAAAATGTTGTGAAATTGGTGTAAAGGATAGTTGTTAAACATTATTTCAATCTCTGGTACCGTATGTATGAGTTAAGTTGTCCATCAAAAAGGCTATATATTATGTATCTCCCGCTCGTTTTGATCATTATATTTGAACTTTATGGTCTACTTCACAGGTCAACTTGAATATAAAAATGGCTGCTCTCAGCGGAAATGATGACCGGAAATAACGATGTTTCGTAATCGGTAAATTCCGTAAGGAATAAAAAATGATTCTGATAATTAAATTGAACATCGTTTTTTTCTAACATAATTTTAGGTTTGTTCAATTGATTCAAGATATTTAAAACCATGTAAATATGTTTTCTCTAACTGTTCCGATCTCAACATCGGTAATTTTCGTATATGTGACACAATATGATTGGTCAGATTTTAAAACTCTTCCGTACTGTTCTCTGATTGGTCAACAATATTTCACCCACGCCATTTTGAGAATTCTTCCCGGGACGTGTTGAGAAATCTGGAGGTGATTTTGAATAAACTCTCATTTGCTCGCGAGTAAAATGGATTGAAAAACAGAAGTGCAGCATAATAATGGTACACAGGATCATATATATGAACCAAGGAAAGCAAATACATAAGGAGACTGACGTTTTTTAGGCATCATATCTGGACTTTTCTGGTGTAAACAACGACAGTTGCGGTAAGATTATGTATATTTTAGCACATTAAAGTTTCAGTTTTTTAAATAATAACTTAGTACAAAGATAGAGGAACAAAGAATGCCTTTTTTACCCATTTTGTAGTATTGTAGAAAGATAAAATAGTACGGTTATTGGCCATATGGGGAACAAGGGTTTTTGTGATAAATTCTGATTGGGGAGAGAGGGGTGGAAGATTGGGGTAATTTTCAAGCCTTTGGCTTCCTAGTTCTATTTCATTCCAATTTTTTCAAGTTTACCATAGACGAATTATTTATTTTCCCTTCAAAAACAATTCTGTAATTTGTATAAACTCAATTTTTTTCGGGGGGGGGGGGTAGGTTGGGTTCGGGGGGGGGGGGGGGGCAGTTTATTTAAATAACATTGGGGCACACATTTTGTTTACTCTTTCAACATTTTCAAGGACAGATTGTTTATTACAAATATTTTTTTAAAAATATTTTATAAATCAGTCCCCCCCCCCCTTTTTCTTCTCCAGATTGTCAAATCAAATGGTTGTCCCCTAAGAAACCCCAGATTAAAGAAAAGTAATTTCAATGGTACAATTGTACGGAATTTGGTGAACTCCGCTGGATCTTTTGGAATTTCAATTTATATTTATTGTTAATTTTAGTCAGCAGAACATTGAAGAAAAGCTGATTAGTCATGGAGGAAGAAGATCCCTCTCAAGAAAGTATTGGGTGTGTGAGCTAAACAAAATCTATATAGAATTATTTTGGATGTGAAAATGTGTGGTTTGTTGAGGTAATGGTTCATTAAATTTTATCATTATATCATTCTGTTCTATATTTCACAGTGATGAAGTCAGATGAGATGACAGGTTTTGTGATTTGAAGATGGACTTCTGCAACAAAGTAAACACTCCTCTACCTTTTCCATACAAAAGAAACAGCAAAGCAGAGAGATCGAAACATGTGGTAAAAATACAAAGAAAACAGGATTAGTTAAACTTGTGAAAAATATCAAGACTATTGAAGAGCAGATTATATGTAAAAAGAAAGACTACAATTGGTAGCTGAATCAGTAGCCTGGCCACATTAATTACTTTTTAATTAGCTATTTGTACATTTAAGGTAATCTGACTGAGTTACTAAAATTGTTATTTAACAAATATTTCAAATAAATAAAAGATTTTTGAATAACAATCAATAGATGCTATTAAGAACCTCAATCTCCAACCCCTTTTCTTCAAATAACAATTTTTGCCCATGATCATTTTTGTAGTTTTTAAAACTCTGTTTTGTATTATTTTAAGCATTTAAATGTATTTTTTGTCTATCATTCTTGTACTTTTTTGATATTTTTGAAATAAAATCCTTCATGCTGATAAAAATACAAAAACAATACAAATTAATACAAAATTAATACATTCTATATTTTTTTCATACTTTTTTTGTGCACTGTATTATTTTCATATTTTATATCTTTTTTGTACTTTTAATTTATCCAGATGAAAAAATACAAAAATAATATATGTGATACAAAATTAATATATTCTATATTTTTTTTGTATTTTAATTCTTAAAGGTGAAAAAATACAAAAATAATATATGCTAATACAAAATTAATACATTCTGTATTTTTTCTATACTTTTCTATGGACTGTATTATTTTTATACTTTGGAGAGGAAAATAGAGAAATAATACAAAAGTACAAAAACAATACGTTTTTACAGGTCATGTGTATCATTTCTGTATTATTTCGAAAAAATAAAGTATATTAAAAATATATTTTTCTGTGTTTGGCTTTTAAAAAGTCTATTATTTTTGACCTAAATTGGAACCAAGATTTAGAGGGTTCCAAATTTGGTCATTAAAAATATACTTTTTTTGTATTATTTTAGTATTTTTTTCTTGTATTATTTTTGTATTCATTTTCGATATGGGTGTGTCTGTCTGTCCATCCGTAACAAATTTTTCATCGCAGTTTTCTCAGCAACTACTCATCACAGTTGCTTGAAATTTTAACACACTCTTTGTTTAGGCATGCCATATGGTGGGATTCATTTTTGTACGAATCCATGGTCAACTTCCTGTTTATCCGTGTTCCAGATACCGAAGTTCAACTGTATATTTTGTCATATTCACATTTTCAAATTCCATAACATCCTTCCATTTCAATAGGTATGACATCATTAAAAAAATAAAAATTTTCTTTCACTTTCTTTATTTTGTCCAATTGTTTTCCAAATTACCAGTACAATTTAACTGATTAGAAGAAAGAAAAATCATAATGATATGCATGAACAATACAAGGATAGTACACAATGTACATGTAAATTCACATTATTCTTAGTAATGCTAGAATTTTAAACCTGAGATCATAATTTGAAACAGTAGAACCATCGGCCAAATTGCTCACCCTAGCACTGTGGCTAGGAAAAAAGCAAAAATCAGTTCAGTAATGAAAAGTTTAAATGCATAAGTGGCCGTGACCTACACCTAAAAGAGGGGAATGATTTGAACAAAAAGTAAGGATGCTTACATATTTCTCTGATTAAATGTGCAGCACCTGAAGCAAGTCCAGTAAATTGCATCCTTAGTTGTATCATCCATGCAGGTTTGATCAACATAGGGCTTATAGTTACTTAAGAATGAATCTGCTCCCACAACTTTAACCTGGTCACTCATCTGGAAAATGTAGCTCAAATCCAGCATCTGAAGCAAGCCTGGTAGTGTGCATCCTTAGTTGAATCATCCAAGCAAGTTTGGTCAATATATGGCTTATACTGTATACAGAAAGTTTTGCCTCTGTTTTATTTTTGCTCCTTTCACCCTAGACACAACTCGACAAATTTAAGACAGGGCAAACTCAAAGACTACAGAATAATTTCTTAAACAGAACCTTGACTGGGCAAAAGCAAGGGCAAAAATAACACGGGGAGGAGGGGGGGGGGGCTATGATATATAATACTTACTTGGAAATGAGACGTGCTCCAAAAACTTTAACCTGCTCCAAAAGCATTAACCTTGTCATTCTTCAGCTGAAAACCTTGACAAGTACAATGAAACATGCTAGAAGTATCGTCCATGTATATCTGATTAATTTAGGGCATAGGGGTACTTGAAAAGAAATCTGCTCCAAAAGATTTAACCTGGGACGCTGACACTGAGTGTTTTTGTCTGTTGTTTAACATCCCTCTCGAGGATATATCACTCATATGGAGATGCCACCAATTGCCGGTGGAGAGCTGTTTTTGACCTATACTCAGCACTCATGATCAGAGCCATTGAGCAGTGAGGGATCTTTTTCGTGCCAGCACAGTCTACTCATCTGTTGTAAAATCAACATTTTCAATTTTTTTTTTATTTTCAAAATTCATTGGTACATTTTGTGTTGCACATATACCTTATTATGAACTCTGTGTGGGAAAAATGGATGGCATTGCATGTGCACTACATTATGATATAGAACAAGTTTAGAGAATGTTAACTTGAATTTCGTCTCAAATTTAACACATATTTTGACCTGACTCAAGATCTGTGATAAAGACTTGTATGTGATATCATGTTGAAAAGTCAATTGTATGAATTGCAGTACCAGAAATTATATTTTAAATGAAGAAGAAAATAAAGGAGATAACAAATTTCTAATAAATAATGAATTACTGAAGACCCATAGATTTTGGAAAAAAGGCCCATTGGACACAATGCTCACCCGAGTCAATATTGCCCTGTTCTTCTTCATCAAAGCAGAATTTTTCCTAGATATTCTTTTGTAAAACTTTGATATCCATTGTGTCCCCATCAAACCCCCTGGGATGGGTTATGATTTCAACAGCTTGAATCTACTCTATCTGAGGATGCTTCCATATCAATATGACTAATCATGGCTTTGCTTTTCTTGAAAAGAAGATTTTTAAAGATTTTTTCCCCTTATATTCCTATGTAAAACATTTATCCCTCCTTGTGGCCCTACTCAACCCCTTATATATTTTTTTCCTATACAGTGTATATTTCTATGTAAATCATTGATCCACCCTTGTGGCCCACTGAAATCTACACTACCTGAGGATGCTTCCACATCAGTATGACTAATCATGGCATTGCTGTTCTTGAGAAAAAGATTTTTAGAGATTTTTGCCTCTATCATACAATGTAAAACTTTGACCCCCCATTGGGGTTCCACCCTACCCCCTCTCCCCCCGAGGGTCATGATTTAAACAAACTTGAATCTACACTACATGAGGTTGCTCCCACTCAGTATGACTGATCATGGCATTGCTCTTCTTGAGAAGAAGATTTTAAAGACATTTGCCTATATAGTACATTGTATAACTTTGATCTCCCATTGTGGGACCAACCTACCCCCCAGGGTCATGATTTGAACAAATTTGAATCTATACTACATACCTGAGGATGCTTCCATATCAACGTGACTATTTCCCTATATATTCCTATGTAAAACTTTTGATCCCCCTTTGTGGCCCCATCCTACCCTCGGGGGTCATGATTTGAACAAATTTAAATCTACATTATATAATGAAGCATTCACACAAGTTCCAACTTTTTTTGCCCAATGGTTCTTGAGAAGAAGATTTTTATGCTACCAAATTTATACTAATTCTTAATTATCTTCCCTTGAAAGAGGGCATGGCCCTTCATTTGAACAAACTTGAATCTCCTTCATCCAAGGATCCTTTGTGCAAGTTTAGTTGAAATTGGCCCCGATGGTTCTTGAGAAGAAGTTAAAAATGTGAAAAATTTACAGATGGACAGCTAGACAGACAGAAGCTAAGACAGACTGACAACAGACAAAATGTGATCAGAAAAGATCACTTGAACTTTCAGCTCAGGTGAGCTAAAAATGAACACTAAATGGCTCTCCCATCTTGATGCAGGCCCTAGCTGATTGTAGGAATTAACTTTTGGGATATCATAAGTAATGTTTTACATGTATGTATTATTACACAAAAACAAACTTCTCCTCTGCTTTCAAGGGCTTGGAACCTTCTGCTTGAAAAAACACAGATCCTATAAATGCTGGGAAGCAATGTTTTTTTCAAGCAGGCAGCATTAAAAGTTTTGTGCTATTTTTCTTTCTTTTTAGTGCTTTTCTTTTTTGGTTTCTTCTTGTTTTTTTTTCTTTCTTTTTTTTTCCTTTTGTTTTTTCTTTTTCCTTTCATGTTTTTTTTCTTTTTGTTTGTTTGTTTTTTTTTTTTTGATTTTTTTTTTGGTTTTTTTTTTTGGTTTGTTTTTCATTTTTTTGTGCAAAACTTTGGCCAATGAGATCAGACAATTTAACATTACACTAGTCACAATTCATTGTTCACTGTCACAATTTAACATTTACTTCTAACATTTACATGTACTATCACTGCATAACTATTCACAATTTATCATTCACTGTCACAATTAACATTACTACTTATACACTTTAACATTTACATGTACTATCACTGCATATTTAGTCACATCAATACATGCTGATATACATTCAATAACACAATAAATCCTTAGTCACCATTAACCACCTTATTACAATAGCTTAAGTAAATGTGTACACACTACGGTAATCACAATTTAACATTTACTATCACTTTATATCCACAGTCACATCAATAATACATTGCATATATACTCATTTGAACAATAAATTCATTAAGTCGATCTCTGTCAACTATACATACTAACTACATAAGCTAAATAAATCTGTACTTAACAATTACAATATATCTAGTCACCTCAGTAATGCACATTGTATATATATTCAATTACACAATAAATTCAGAGTCACTATATCCACCCTCACTTTTTAATAAGTAGTTGTACATTCCAGGAATAATAATATGATATATAAAAATCACTTCTTCTGTAACATTTACACATAATTTTTTTGATGTTGGATAAGATAAAAAGAAAGATTTTAGATTTTTGAAAGACAAAGGAGCCTACAACTAGTCATGTTTTCAACCCCTCCTCCCCAGGCCAGCCTGGCAACCGTAGCGGCGAAGGACCCAAGAAGTTCCAACCAGTAATGCCCCAGGGTATCGACAAGGTCTACTTACAACTAGCCTTCAACTACTTCATCTAAACAATTTTATAGACGATATAACATTATAGCAAAATAATGATAGATGATAAAAGATATCTACATAAAATGATAAAAATAGCACAATTATCTCTTTGACATAGAGAAAAAAGTGGGGGTCAGTGTGGGAGGAAACCGGAGCACCCGGAGAAAACCCACGTGTCAGAGTGGGTGACCCCATACCCTCTTACAACTCAGACACCCATTTCCAAAACAAATTTCTCAAAAAAATATGTTCTGGATAATAACAAATTATAACATTGTAAACTGAATGTGCTTGTGTGTACTTCACAGATCTGGCTTTCTGCATTGTCATCTTTCTTTGTCTTTTTCCAAACATGATCACAAGGATATGCCTCTTCAATACTTTTATTTTCTGTCAATGAATAAGAAAAAAAGGTAACCATTAGGACTGATGAAGTAGAAAGGAAGAACAGAGTCCTACAGAATGGCATACTTGGATACTTATTCTCATACCTGAGGCGATCGATCCTTGTCATTCATAATGTCAAGCACATCCACATGACTTTATCTGAGTCTCCTACAGGGTACTGTCACAGAAAACATCAAAGCCCACTGTAAAATAGACGTTAATTAATATACTTCAGCATCTAAATAAGTACAAACAGAAATTAAGAAAAGAACAGACATATCTTAGCAAAATATTATATTGCTCTAACATAATGTTCTTCTGCTGTACTTTGTCAAAAAAGATCCTGGATTATTAATTATGTCACATACCTGATCAGTGACAGTTATCCACTTTGGTAAGTCCTACTGTTGAGAAGGTCATCATCCATCAGTCTTGACTTTTCTAAGTATTTCCACCAATTCCTGTCTAGCTGTAGCTGCTCATTTTAACATCTTGAAGGGTCAACATCCATCAATCTTGCATTTTCTAGGTTTTCCACCAATTCCTGTTTGGCTATAGCTGCTCATTTCCACATCTTACATTTCACAGTTTCTGTTTTTAAAAAATGAAAAAAAGGTAATAATCAGGTCCAATGAAGTAAAAATGAGAAACCAAAGGTCATAGAGAATGGCCTGCTAAGGGTAACTTTCACATACCTGAGGGTTCCTTGTCATTCATGTCAAGCACATCCACATGACTTTATCTGAGTCTCCTACTGGGTACTGTCACCAAATCATCAAAGCACACTATTAAATAGAAGTTAATATACATCTATCAGTAAATTAAGAAAAGAACAAACATATCTAAATAATATACTTCAAGGATCAAATATTCTTTTGCTGTACTTTTCCAAAAATGATCTTTGATCATTGATTATGTCACATACCTGATCAGTGACAGTTATCTACTTTGATATGTCTTGCTGTTGGGAAGGTCGATGTCCTTCAGTCTCTTCTTTCCCAGTTGTTTCCACCAATTCCTGTCTGGCTGTAATTACTCTTTTCCACATCCTGGAGGGTCACTGTCCATCAGTCTTGTCTTTTCCACTTGTTTCCACAAATTCCTGTCTGGCTGTAGCTGTTCATTTCCACATCTTGGAGAGTCAACATCTATCAGTCACATATTTTCCATTTGATTCCACCATTTCCTGTCTGGTTGTAGCTGCTGATTTCCAAATTCTGGAGAGTCAATGTCCACCATTCTTGTCTTTTACACTTGTTTCCACCAATTCCTATCTGGCTGTAGTTGCTCATTTCCACATCCTGAAGGGTCAATGTCCATTAATCTTGTCTTTTCCACTTGTTTCCACCAATTCCTGTCTGGCTGTAGCTGCTGATTTCCACATCCTGGAGGGTCAATGTCCATCAGTCTTGTCTTTTCCACTTGTTTCCACCAATTCCCGTCTGGCTGTAGCTGCTCATTTCCACATCCTGGAGGGTCAATGTCCATCAATCTTGTCTTTTCAACTTGTTTCCACCAATTCCCGTCTGGCTGTAGCTGCTCATTTCCACATCCTGGAGGGTCAATGTCCATCAATCTTGTCTTTTCCACTTGTTTCCACCAATTCCTGTCTGGCTGTAGCTGCTTATTTCCACATCCTGGAGGGTCAATGTCCATCAGTCTTGTGATAAGAAATAAGACATAAGGATACTTCTACTTTAATAAACTATTAAATAACTGACAGAGTGGTTCTCATTAATCCCAAAAGTTCAACATTATCAGCTTTACTATAAATGTTTAGCTTATAATCACATGTAGCTTGTATTCCTCTATTTTAAAAAGTGTTGGGAGCTGGTTGTGTGCTTCATTCTGCAATTTAATATATTGGCAAGGCATACTTTGCTTTTTTCACTATTTTATAAAAAAAAATGGCTAAATTTGTCATAGTTCCAAAGGATGAGAAACTTTCTCCCAGCACTTTTCACATGATGGAATTTGTCTCAACGAAAATGGTCGATTTTCAAAATAAAAAATGTATCCATATCTCACTGAAATTTTCACAATTTTTGTAGCTGTACGTATATTTTCTAATTTTAACCTAGCTGTCATGTGACAAACAGATCATATTATCAGTGATGTCACTGGCCAAACTCAGAAGAGAACCCTATATACTTGTACAGATAGCAGAATTTCCATTCAACAAAATTAAACATTATTTCTATTTTTAATATTGAATCTTTTTTATGGAATATATGATAATGCATACTTCCTATGAGTGTCCTTAGCCTAGCTGTGGTCTGGGTGGTCAACGTCCATCAATCTTGCCTTCTCCAGTTGTTTCCACCAATTCCCATCTGGCTCACAGTAGCTTCCCATTTCCACATCCTGGAGGGTCAACATCAATCGGTTATGATTAGCTATGTTAAGGAAATCAATGGAAAATATTATCTTAACATGTATTTAAAGGTCATAGGAAACGATTCTTAACACTAGGATTTCACTTTTTAAACCTCAAGCTATATATGAAAGAATGTTAAATTACGAGTGGTAATTTTTTTGGCCTTTATTCTACTGAAAAATGAAGGTGAAAACTTTTCCACTTGTTACTTTTCTTACCCGCCTATCGTTCTTGATTTTGTGGCTTTATGACGTCACAAGAGCACACTGATGTAAACGGAGCATTAGACAAATGTATTTCTACCATATTTTATCTAATTAATCTAACCTATTTTTGTAAATATAAATGTGTCTCTGTTTTCAGGTGATCAAGTTATAATGCAAAACAGGAATCCAGAAGTGCTACACAGGCAGCCTGTTACTCACCGCTTTGGCCAATGTTGGCCGCTAGACAGGGCTGGGCCATGGGGTCGTCTCCGTCTGTGGGCTGGGCGGCTGGCTGCTTCGGCGGCGTCCCTCGTCCGGGTCCCTGAAAATACACAACTGAGAAGAGATTAGTAAACATTCAAAACAGTGAAACAAAGCACAGAAATTCACAACAAAATAAGTTGAAAAACAAGTTAGCAGATGAAGACAGTTAGATCAGGAAAGGGCATAAAGGGGGGATTAAGGGGAAGGGGGGATGGTTAGTTATGTTAGATTAGGGGAAGTGCTTAGGAGACAGAGAAGAGAAGAAGAGACAGAAGGAAATAAATTCAAAAAGCTTCTCTATTAGGCTTCCTGGTTGCGGAATTGGATCCTGGACTTCTGCTGGACTTCTGCTGGACTTCTGCTGGGCTCTGCTGTTTGCTGTGCGTCCTGTCAATTGGAAGTCAAGAGGTCAAAGGCTGATACGATCGACATCAATTGGCAAGGAAAAGATCATGAAAAGCTGCAACAAGTAGAGTGTGAATCTTACCTCCTCTTCTCTACTTGACTGCAGTTGGGATCCGTCCGGGTCACCTCTTCGGCTAATAAAGCAAAACCAAGACATCAAAACAACTTCGTCGAGTTATCAGAATTCACCCAGTGCAAACAGCAGAGTCAAGATATCCTTAACACAAACACACAGTAATGAAAGTGCACACAGTGCAAGATGTGTACAGTGCGTCTTACCTGCACGTCAGGGATTGACCGCACTCCATCACACAACTGCTGCCTGCAGGTGCACGGTCTGCTCTTCTTCCACGGAACCAGACCAGTCCAACCCCCGTACCTGTTAACAAAGATGTCTACAGGTCAAAGCCCGAGTAACACACCCGCAACAAGGAACGAGTAACAAAAGTCCACAGAGTGCAAGGAGTATACAGATTGCAAGTCTCATTACCTCCAATGCTTGGGTTGGCCGCAGTGTATCCCTGAACCCTCTGCACTTCTTCCGGCAGGCCGCAGTCCGCACTCTGGATCCAGAACAGCCAAACCAGGACCTGTTTTAACAGCAAATGTGCAGTAGTCAAACAAGTGTGCTTAGACCAATGAAAACAGTAGAAATGAAGAAACTCCACAGAGTGCGAGGCGTGCACAATGCATCTTACCATCCTTGGGTTGGCAGTCTCCTCTTCACACCCCTGGGGGTAGAGGGCTGCATCACACTGCATCTCTACAGTAGAAAGACGAGACATCAAGAGAGGTCACAATCTGCTTCAAGTGAGATGAGAGAAAAACAATCAACACAGTTAATACAGGTTTAAGACATGAATCTTACCCTCTCTTCAATGAGCGGTCGCAGTCGATCCCTGCTCTCCAGAGTGCTGCTGTACGTCTCGGTGGGATCGACGCTCCTGAAAACACACAAAGTCAGGAGGTCAAAGGAGCACCCTAGCTGCTCTGATCAAGTTATAATGCAAAACAGGAATCCAGAAGTGCTACACAGGCAGCCTGTTACTCACCGCTTTGGCCAATGTTGGCCGCTAGACAGGGCTGGGCCATGGGGTCGTCTCCGTCTGTGGGCTGGGCGGCTGGCTGCTTCGGCGGCGTCCCTCGTCCGGGTCCCTGAAAATACACAACTGAGAAGAGATTAGTAAACATTCAAAACAGTGAAACAAAGCACAGAAATTCACAACAAAATAAGTTGAAAAACAAGTTAGCAGATGAAGACAGTTAGATCAGGAAAGGGCATAAAGGGGGGATTAAGGGGAAGGGGGGATGGTTAGTTATGTTAGATTAGGGGAAGTGCTTAGGAGACAGAGAAGAGAAGAAGAGACAGAAGGAAATAAATTCAAAAAGCTTCTCTATTAGGCTTCCTGGTTGCGGAATTGGATCCTGGACTTCTGCTGGACTTCTGCTGGACTTCTGCTGGGCTCTGCTGTTTGCTGTGCGTCCTGTCAATTGGAAGTCAAGAGGTCAAAGGCTGATACGATCGACATCAATTGGCAAGGAAAAGATCATGAAAAGCTGCAACAAGTAGAGTGTGAATCTTACCTCCTCTTCTCTACTTGACTGCAGTTGGGATCCGTCCGGGTCAGCATACACCTCCTCTTCGGCTAATAAAGCAAAACCAAGACATCAAAACAACTTCGTCGAGTTATCAGAATTCACCCAGTGCAAACAGCAGAGTCAAGATATCCTTAACACAAACACACAGTAATGAAAGTGCACACAGTGCAAGATGTGTACAGTGCGTCTTACCTGCACGTCAGGGATTGACCGCACTCCATCACACAACTGCTGCCTGCAGGTGCACGGTCTGCTCTTCTTCCACGGAACCAGACCAGTCCAACCCCCGTACCTGTTAACAAAGATGTCTACAGGTCAAAGCCCGAGTAACACACCCGCAACAAGGAACGAGTAACAAAAGTCCACAGAGTGCAAGGAGTATACAGATTGCAAGTCTCATTACCTCCAATGCTTGGGTTGGCCGCAGTGTATCCCTGAACCCTCTGCACTTCTTCCGGCAGGCCGCAGTCCGCACTCTGGATCCAGAACAGCCAAACCAGGACCTGTTTTAACAGCAAATGTGCAGTAGTCAAACAAGTGTGCTTAGACCAATGAAAACAGTAGAAATGAAGAAACTCCACAGAGTGCGAGGCGTGCACAATGCATCTTACCATCCTTGGGTTGGCAGTCTCCTCTTCACACCCCTGGGGGTAGAGGGCTGCATCACACTGCATCTCTACAGTAGAAAGACGAGACATCAAGAGAGGTCACAATCTGCTTCAAGTGAGATGAGAGAAAAACAATCAACACAGTTAATACAGGTTTAAGACATGAATCTTACCCTCTCTTCAATGAGCGGTCGCAGTCGATCCCTGCTCTCCAGAGTGCTGCTGTACGTCTCGGTGGGATCGACGCTCCTGAAAACACACAAAGTCAGGAGGTCAAAGGAGCACCCTAGCTGCTCTGATCAAGTTATAATGCAAAACAGGAATCCAGAAGTGCTACACAGGCAGCCTGTTACTCACCGCTTTGGCCAATGTTGGCCGCTAGACAGGGCTGGGCCATGGGGTCGTCTCCGTCTGTGGGCTGGGCGGCTGGCTGCTTCGGCGGCGTCCCTCGTCCGGGTCCCTGAAAATACACAACTGAGAAGAGATTAGTAAACATTCAAAACAGTGAAACAAAGCACAGAAATTCACAACAAAATAAGTTGAAAAACAAGTTAGCAGATGAAGACAGTTAGATCAGGAAAGGGCATAAAGGGGGGATTAAGGGGAAGGGGGGATGGTTAGTTATGTTAGATTAGGGGAAGTGCTTAGGAGACAGAGAAGAGAAGAAGAGACAGAAGGAAATAAATTCAAAAAGCTTCTCTATTAGGCTTCCTGGTTGCGGAATTGGATCCTGGACTTCTGCTGGACTTCTGCTGGGCTCTGCTGTTTGCTGTGCGTCCTGTCAATTGGAAGTCAAGAGGTCAAAGGCTGATACGATCGACATCAATTGGCAAGGAAAAGATCATGAAAAGCTGCAACAAGTAGAGTGTGAATCTTACCTCCTCTTCTCTACTTGACTGCAGTTGGGATCCGTCCGGGTCAGCATACACCTCCTCTTCGGCTAATAAAGCAAAACCAAGACATCAAAACAACTTCGTCGAGTTATCAGAATTCACCCAGTGCAAACAGCAGAGTCAAGATATCCTAAACACAAACACACAGTAATGAAAGTGCACACAGTGCAAGATGTGTACAGTGCGTCTTACCTGCACGTCAGGGATTGACCGCACTCCATCACACAACTGCTGCCTGCAGGTGCACGGTCTGCTCTTCTTCCACGGAACCAGACCAGTCCAACCCCCGTACCTGTTAACAAAGATGTCTACAGGTCAAAGCCCGAGTAACACACCCGCAACAAGGAACGAGTAACAAAAGTCCACAGAGTGCAAGGAGTATACAGATTGCAAGTCTCATTACCTCCAATGCTTGGGTTGGCCGCAGTGTATCCCTGAACCCTCTGCACTTCTTCCGGCAGGCCGCAGTCCGCACTCTGGATCCAGAACAGCCAAACCAGGACCTGTTTTAACAGCAAATGTGCAGTAGTCAAACAAGTGTGCTTAGACCAATGAAAACAGTAGAAATGAAGAAACTCCACAGAGTGCGAGGCGTGCACAATGCATCTTACCATCCTTGGGTTGGCAGTCTCCTCTTCACACCCCTGGGGGTAGAGGGTTGCATCACACTGCATCTCTACAGTAGAAAGACGAGACATCAAGAGAGATCACAATCTGCTTCAAGTGAGATGAGAGAAAAACAATCAACACAGTTAATACAGGTTTAAGACATGAATCTTACCCTCTCTTCAATGAGCGGTCGCAGTCGATCCCTGCTCTCCAGAGTGCTGCTGTACGTCTCGGTGGGATCGACGCTCCTGAAAACACACAAAGTCAGGAGGTCAAAGGAGCACCCTAGCTGCTCTGATCAAGTTATAATGCAAAACAGGAATCCAGAAGTGCTACACAGGCAGCCTGTTACTCACCGCTTTGGCCAATGTTGGTCGCTAGACAGGGCTGGGCCATGGGGTCGTCTCCGTCTGTGGGCTGGGCGGCTGGCTGCTTCGGCGGCGTCCCTCGTCCGGGTCCCTGAAAATACACAACTGAGAAGAGATTAGTAAACATTCAAAACAGTGAAACAAAGCACAGAAATTCACAACAAAATAAGTTGAAAAACAAGTTAGCAGATGAAGACAGTTAGATCAGGAAAGGGCATAAAGGGGGGATTAAGGGGAAGGGGGGATGGTTAGTTATGTTAGATTAGGGGAAGTGCTTAGGAGACAGAGAAGAGAAGAAGAGACAGAAGGAAATAAATTCAAAAAGCTTCTCTATTAGGCTTCCTGGTTGCGGAATTGGATCCTGGACTTCTGCTGGACTTCTGCTGGGCTCTGCTGTTTGCTGTGCGTCCTGTCAACTGGAAGTCAAGAGGTCAAAGGCTGATACGATCGACATCAATTGGCAAGGAAAAGATCATGAAAAGCTGCAACAAGTAGAGTGTGAATCTTACCTCCTCTTCTCTACTTGACTGCAGTTGGGATCCGTCCGGGTCAGCATACACCTCCTCTTCGGCTAATAAAGCAAAACCAAGACATCAAAACAACTTCGTCGAGTTATCAGAATTCACCCAGTGCAAACAGCAGAGTCAAGATATCCTTAACACAAACACACAGTAATGAAAGTGCACACAGTGCAAGATGTGTACAGTGCGTCTTACCTGCACGTCAGGGATTGACCGCACTCCATCACACAACTGCTGCCTGCAGGTGCACGGTCTGCTCTTCTTCCACGGAACCAGACCAGTCCAACCCCCGTACCTGTTAACAAAGATGTCTACAGGTCAAAGCCCGAGTAACACACCCGCAACAAGGAACGAGTAACAAAAGTCCACAGAGTGCAAGGAGTATACAGATTGCAAGTCTCATTACCTCCAATGCTTGGGTTGGCCGCAGTGTATCCCTGAACCCTCTGCACTTCTTCCGGCAGGCCGCAGTCCGCACTCTGGATCCAGAACAGCCAAACCAGGACCTGTTTTAACAGCAAATGTGCAGTAGTCAAACAAGTGTGCTTAGACCAATGAAAACAGTAGAAATGAAGAAACTCCACAGAGTGCGAGGCGTGCACAATGCATCTTACCATCCTTGGGTTGGCAGTCTCCTCTTCACACCCCTGGGGGTAGAGGGCTGCATCACACTGCATCTCTACAGTAGAAAGACGAGACATCAAGAGAGATCACAATCTGCTTCAAGTGAGATGAGAGAAAAACAATCAACACAGTTAATACAGGTTTAAGACATGAATCTTACCCTCTCTTCAATGAGCGGTCGCAGTCGATCCCTGCTCTCCAGAGTGCTGCTGTACGTCTCGGTGGGATCGACGCTCCTGAAAACACACAAAGTCAGGAGGTCAAAGGAGCACCCTAGCTGCTCTGATCAAGTTATAATGCAAAACAGGAATCCAGAAGTGCTACACAGGCAGCCTGTTACTCACCGCTTTGGCCAATGTTGGCCGCTAGACAGGGCTGGGCCATGGGGTCGTCTCCGTCTGTGGGCTGGGCGGCTGGCTGCTTCGGCGGCGTCCCTCGTCCGGGTCCCTGAAAATACACAACTGAGAAGAGATTAGTAAACATTCAAAACAGTGAAACAAAGCACAGAAATTCACAACAAAATAAGTTGAAAAACAAGTTAGCAGATGAAGACAGTTAGATCAGGAAAGGGCATAAAGGGGGGATTAAGGGGAAGGGGGGATGGTTAGTTATGTTAGATTAGGGGAAGTGCTTAGGAGACAGAGAAGAGAAGAAGAGACAGAAGGAAATAAATTCAAAAAGCTTCTCTATTAGGCTTCCTGGTTGCGGAATTGGATCCTGGACTTCTGCTGGACTTCTGCTGGGCTCTGCTGTTTGCTGTGCGTCCTGTCAATTGGAAGTCAAGAGGTCAAAGGCTGATACGATCGACATCAATTGGCAAGGAAAAGATCATGAAAAGCTGCAACAAGTAGAGTGTGAATCTTACCTCCTCTTCTCTACTTGACTGCAGTTGGGATCCGTCCGGGTCAGCATACACCTCCTCTTCGGCTAATAAAGCAAAACCAAGACATCAAAACAACTTCGTCGAGTTATCAGAATTCACCCAGTGCAAACAGCAGAGTCAAGATATCCTTAACACAAACACACAGTAATGAAAGTGCACACAGTGCAAGATGTGTACAGTGCGTCTTACCTGCACGTCAGGGATTGACCGCACTCCATCACACAACTGCTGCCTGCAGGTGCACGGTCTGCTCTTCTTCCACGGAACCAGACCAGTCCAACCCCCGTACCTGTTAACAAAGATGTCTACAGGTCAAAGCCCGAGTAACACACCCGCAACAAGGAACGAGTAACAAAAGTCCACAGAGTGCAAGGAGTATACAGATTGCAAGTCTTACCTCCAATGCTTGGGTTGGCCGCAGTGTATCCCTGAACCCTCTGCACTTCTTCCGGCAGGCCGCAGTCCGCACTCTGGATCCAGAACAGCCAAACCAGGACCTGTTTTAACAGCAAATGTGCAGTAGTCAAACAAGTGTGCTTAGACCAATGAAAACAGTAGAAATGAAGAAACTCCACAGAGTGCGAGGCGTGCACAATGCATCTTACCATCCTTGGGTTGGCAGTCTCCTCTTCACACCCCTGGGGGTAGAGGGCTGCATCACACTGCATCTCTACAGTAGAAAGACGAGACATCAAGAGAGATCACAATCTGCTTCAAGTGAGATGAGAGAAAAACAATCAACACAGTTAATACAGGTTTAAGACATGAATCTTACCCTCTCTTCAATGAGCGGTCGCAGTCGATCCCTGCTCTCCAGAGTGCTGCTGTACGTCTCGGTGGGATCGACGCTCCTGAAAACACACAAAGTCAGGAGGTCAAAGGAGCACCCTAGCTGCTCTGATCAAGTTATAATGCAAAACAGGAATCCAGAAGTGCTACACAGGCAGCCTGTTACTCACCGCTTTGGCCAATGTTGGCCGCTAGACAGGGCTGGGCCATGGGGTCGTCTCCGTCTGTGGGCTGGGCGGCTGGCTGCTTCGGCGGCGTCCCTCGTCCGGGTCCCTGAAAATACACAACTGAGAAGAGATTAGTAAACATTCAAAACAGTGAAACAAAGCACAGAAATTCACAACAAAATAAGTTGAAAAACAAGTTAGCAGATGAAGACAGTTAGATCAGGAAAGGGCATAAAGGGGGGATTAAGGGGAAGGGGGGATGGTTAGTTATGTTAGATTAGGGGAAGTGCTTAGGAGACAGAGAAGAGAAGAAGAGACAGAAGGAAATAAATTCAAAAAGCTTCTCTATTAGGCTTCCTGGTTGCGGAATTGGATCCTGGACTTCTGCTGGACTTCTGCTGGGCTCTGCTGTTTGCTGTGCGTCCTGTCAACTGGAAGTCAAGAGGTCAAAGGCTGATACGATCGACATCAATTGGCAAGGAAAAGATCATGAAAAGCTGCAACAAGTAGAGTGTGAATCTTACCTCCTCTTCTCTACTTGACTGCAGTTGGGATCCGTCCGGGTCAGCATACACCTCCTCTTCGGCTAATAAAGCAAAACCAAGACATCAAAACAACTTCGTCGAGTTATCAGAATTCACCCAGTGCAAACAGCAGAGTCAAGATATCCTTAACACAAACACACAGTAATGAAAGTGCACACAGTGCAAGATGTGTACAGTGCGTCTTACCTGCACGTCAGGGATTGACCGCACTCCATCACACAACTGCTGCCTGCAGGTGCACGGTCTGCTCTTCTTCCACGGAACCAGACCAGTCCAACCCCCGTACCTGTTAACAAAGATGTCTACAGGTCAAAGCCCGAGTAACACACCCGCAACAAGGAACGAGTAACAAAAGTCCACAGAGTGCAAGGAGTATACAGATTGCAAGTCTCATTACCTCCAATGCTTGGGTTGGCCGCAGTGTATCCCTGAACCCTCTGCACTTCTTCCGGCAGGCCGCAGTCCGCACTCTGGATCCAGAACAGCCAAACCAGGACCTGTTTTAACAGCAAATGTGCAGTAGTCAAACAAGTGTGCTTAGACCAATGAAAACAGTAGAAATGAAGAAACTCCACAGAGTGCGAGGCGTGCACAATGCATCTTACCATCCTTGGGTTGGCAGTCTCCTCTTCACACCCCTGGGGGTAGAGGGCTGCATCACACTGCATCTCTACAGTAGAAAGACGAGACATCAAGAGAGATCACAATCTGCTTCAAGTGAGATGAGAGAAAAACAATCAACACAGTTAATACAGGTTTAAGACATGAATCTTACCCTCTCTTCAATGAGCGGTCGCAGTCGATCCCTGCTCTCCAGAGTGCTGCTGTACGTCTCGGTGGGATCGACGCTCCTGAAAACACACAAAGTCAGGAGGTCAAAGGAGCACCCTAGCTGCTCTGATCAAGTTATAATGCAAAACAGGAATCCAGAAGTGCTACACAGGCAGCCTGTTACTCACCGCTTTGGCCAATGTTGGCCGCTAGACAGGGCTGGGCCATGGGGTCGTCTCCGTCTGTGGGCTGGGCGGCTGGCTGCTTCGGCGGCGTCCCTCGTCCGGGTCCCTGAAAATACACAACTGAGAAGAGATTAGTAAACATTCAAAACAGTGAAACAAAGCACAGAAATTCACAACAAAATAAGTTGAAAAACAAGTTAGCAGATGAAGACAGTTAGATCAGGAAAGGGCATAAAGGGGGGATTAAGGGGAAGGGGGGATGGTTAGTTATGTTAGATTAGGGGAAGTGCTTAGGAGACAGAGAAGAGAAGAAGAGACAGAAGGAAATAAATTCAAAAAGCTTCTCTATTAGGCTTCCTGGTTGCGGAATTGGATCCTGGACTTCTGCTGGACTTCTGCTGGGCTCTGCTGTTTGCTGTGCGTCCTGTCAACTGGAAGTCAAGAGGTCAAAGGCTGATACGATCGACATCAATTGGCAAGGAAAAGATCATGAAAAGCTGCAACAAGTAGAGTGTGAATCTTACCTCCTCTTCTCTACTTGACTGCAGTTGGGATCCGTCCGGGTCAGCATACACCTCCTCTTCGGCTAATAAAGCAAAACCAAGACATCAAAACAACTTCGTCGAGTTATCAGAATTCACCCAGTGCAAACAGCAGAGTCAAGATATCCTTAACACAAACACACAGTAATGAAAGTGCACACAGTGCAAGATGTGTACAGTGCGTCTTACCTGCACGTCAGGGATTGACCGCACTCCATCACACAACTGCTGCCTGCAGGTGCACGGTCTGCTCTTCTTCCACGGAACCAGACCAGTCCAACCCCCGTACCTGTTAACAAAGATGTCTACAGGTCAAAGCCCGAGTAACACACCCGCAACAAGGAACGAGTAACAAAAGTCCACAGAGTGCAAGGAGTATACAGATTGCAAGTCTCATTACCTCCAATGCTTGGGTTGGCCGCAGTGTATCCCTGAACCCTCTGCACTTCTTCCGGCAGGCCGCAGTCCGCACTCTGGATCCAGAACAGCCAAACCAGGACCTGTTTTAACAGCAAATGTGCAGTAGTCAAACAAGTGTGCTTAGACCAATGAAAACAGTAGAAATGAAGAAACTCCACAGAGTGCGAGGCGTGCACAATGCATCTTACCATCCTTGGGTTGGCAGTCTCCTCTTCACACCCCTGGGGGTAGAGGGCTGCATCACACTGCATCTCTACAGTAGAAAGACGAGACATCAAGAGAGATCACAATCTGCTTCAAGTGAGATGAGAGAAAAACAATCAACACAGTTAATACAGGTTTAAGACATGAATCTTACCCTCTCTTCAATGAGCGGTCGCAGTCGATCCCTGCTCTCCAGAGTGCTGCTGTACGTCTCGGTGGGATCGACGCTCCTGAAAACACACAAAGTCAGGAGGTCAAAGGAGCACCCTAGCTGCTCTGATCAAGTTATAATGCAAAACAGGAATCCAGAAGTGCTACACAGGCAGCCTGTTACTCACCGCTTTGGCCAATGTTGGCCGCTAGACAGGGCTGGGCCATGGGGTCGTCTCCGTCTGTGGGCTGGGCGGCTGGCTGCTTCGGCGGCGTCCCTCGTCCGGGTCCCTGAAAATACACAACTGAGAAGAGATTAGTAAACATTCAAAACAGTGAAACAAAGCACAGAAATTCACAACAAAATAAGTTGAAAAACAAGTTAGCAGATGAAGACAGTTAGATCAGGAAAGGGCATAAAGGGGGGATTAAGGGGAAGGGGGGATGGTTAGTTATGTTAGATTAGGGGAAGTGCTTAGGAGACAGAGAAGAGAAGAAGAGACAGAAGGAAATAAATTCAAAAAGCTTCTCTATTAGGCTTCCTGGTTGCGGAATTGGATCCTGGACTTCTGCTGGACTTCTGCTGGACTTCTGCTGGGCTCTGCTGTTTGCTGTGCGTCCTGTCAATTGGAAGTCAAGAGGTCAAAGGCTGATACGATCGACATCAATTGGCAAGGAAAAGATCATGAAAAGCTGCAACAAGTAGAGTGTGAATCTTACCTCCTCTTCTCTACTTGACTGCAGTTGGGATCCGTCCGGGTCACCTCTTCGGCTAATAAAGCAAAACCAAGACATCAAAACAACTTCGTCGAGTTATCAGAATTCACCCAGTGCAAACAGCAGAGTCAAGATATCCTTAACACAAACACACAGTAATGAAAGTGCACACAGTGCAAGATGTGTACAGTGCGTCTTACCTGCACGTCAGGGATTGACCGCACTCCATCACACAACTGCTGCCTGCAGGTGCACGGTCTGCTCTTCTTCCACGGAACCAGACCAGTCCAACCCCCGTACCTGTTAACAAAGATGTCTACAGGTCAAAGCCCGAGTAACACACCCGCAACAAGGAACGAGTAACAAAAGTCCACAGAGTGCAAGGAGTATACAGATTGCAAGTCTCATTACCTCCAATGCTTGGGTTGGCCGCAGTGTATCCCTGAACCCTCTGCACTTCTTCCGGCAGGCCGCAGTCCGCACTCTGGATCCAGAACAGCCAAACCAGGACCTGTTTTAACAGCAAATGTGCAGTAGTCAAACAAGTGTGCTTAGACCAATGAAAACAGTAGAAATGAAGAAACTCCACAGAGTGCGAGGCGTGCACAATGCATCTTACCATCCTTGGGTTGGCAGTCTCCTCTTCACACCCCTGGGGGTAGAGGGCTGCATCACACTGCATCTCTACAGTAGAAAGACGAGACATCAAGAGAGGTCACAATCTGCTTCAAGTGAGATGAGAGAAAAACAATCAACACAGTTAATACAGGTTTAAGACATGAATCTTACCCTCTCTTCAATGAGCGGTCGCAGTCGATCCCTGCTCTCCAGAGTGCTGCTGTACGTCTCGGTGGGATCGACGCTCCTGAAAACACACAAAGTCAGGAGGTCAAAGGAGCACCCTAGCTGCTCTGATCAAGTTATAATGCAAAACAGGAATCCAGAAGTGCTACACAGGCAGCCTGTTACTCACCGCTTTGGCCAATGTTGGCCGCTAGACAGGGCTGGGCCATGGGGTCGTCTCCGTCTGTGGGCTGGGCGGCTGGCTGCTTCGGCGGCGTCCCTCGTCCGGGTCCCTGAAAATACACAACTGAGAAGAGATTAGTAAACATTCAAAACAGTGAAACAAAGCACAGAAATTCACAACAAAATAAGTTGAAAAACAAGTTAGCAGATGAAGACAGTTAGATCAGGAAAGGGCATAAAGGGGGGATTAAGGGGAAGGGGGGATGGTTAGTTATGTTAGATTAGGGGAAGTGCTTAGGAGACAGAGAAGAGAAGAAGAGACAGAAGGAAATAAATTCAAAAAGCTTCTCTATTAGGCTTCCTGGTTGCGGAATTGGATCCTGGACTTCTGCTGGACTTCTGCTGGACTTCTGCTGGGCTCTGCTGTTTGCTGTGCGTCCTGTCAATTGGAAGTCAAGAGGTCAAAGGCTGATACGATCGACATCAATTGGCAAGGAAAAGATCATGAAAAGCTGCAACAAGTAGAGTGTGAATCTTACCTCCTCTTCTCTACTTGACTGCAGTTGGGATCCGTCCGGGTCACCTCTTCGGCTAATAAAGCAAAACCAAGACATCAAAACAACTTCGTCGAGTTATCAGAATTCACCCAGTGCAAACAGCAGAGTCAAGATATCCTTAACACAAACACACAGTAATGAAAGTGCACACAGTGCAAGATGTGTACAGTGCGTCTTACCTGCACGTCAGGGATTGACCGCACTCCATCACACAACTGCTGCCTGCAGGTGCACGGTCTGCTCTTCTTCCACGGAACCAGACCAGTCCAACCCCCGTACCTGTTAACAAAGATGTCTACAGGTCAAAGCCCGAGTAACACACCCGCAACAAGGAACGAGTAACAAAAGTCCACAGAGTGCAAGGAGTATACAGATTGCAAGTCTCATTACCTCCAATGCTTGGGTTGGCCGCAGTGTATCCCTGAACCCTCTGCACTTCTTCCGGCAGGCCGCAGTCCGCACTCTGGATCCAGAACAGCCAAACCAGGACCTGTTTTAACAGCAAATGTGCAGTAGTCAAACAAGTGTGCTTAGACCAATGAAAACAGTAGAAATGAAGAAACTCCACAGAGTGCGAGGCGTGCACAATGCATCTTACCATCCTTGGGTTGGCAGTCTCCTCTTCACACCCCTGGGGGTAGAGGGCTGCATCACACTGCATCTCTACAGTAGAAAGACGAGACATCAAGAGAGGTCACAATCTGCTTCAAGTGAGATGAGAGAAAAACAATCAACACAGTTAATACAGGTTTAAGACATGAATCTTACCCTCTCTTCAATGAGCGGTCGCAGTCGATCCCTGCTCTCCAGAGTGCTGCTGTACGTCTCGGTGGGATCGACGCTCCTGAAAACACACAAAGTCAGGAGGTCAAAGGAGCACCCTAGCTGCTCTGATCAAGTTATAATGCAAAACAGGAATCCAGAAGTGCTACACAGGCAGCCTGTTACTCACCGCTTTGGCCAATGTTGGCCGCTAGACAGGGCTGGGCCATGGGGTCGTCTCCGTCTGTGGGCTGGGCGGCTGGCTGCTTCGGCGGCGTCCCTCGTCCGGGTCCCTGAAAATACACAACTGAGAAGAGATTAGTAAACATTCAAAACAGTGAAACAAAGCACAGAAATTCACAACAAAATAAGTTGAAAAACAAGTTAGCAGATGAAGACAGTTAGATCAGGAAAGGGCATAAAGGGGGGATTAAGGGGAAGGGGGGATGGTTAGTTATGTTAGATTAGGGGAAGTGCTTAGGAGACAGAGAAGAGAAGAAGAGACAGAAGGAAATAAATTCAAAAAGCTTCTCTATTAGGCTTCCTGGTTGCGGAATTGGATCCTGGACTTCTGCTGGACTTCTGCTGGGCTCTGCTGTTTGCTGTGCGTCCTGTCAATTGGAAGTCAAGAGGTCAAAGGCTGATACGATCGACATCAATTGGCAAGGAAAAGATCATGAAAAGCTGCAACAAGTAGAGTGTGAATCTTACCTCCTCTTCTCTACTTGACTGCAGTTGGGATCCGTCCGGGTCAGCATACACCTCCTCTTCGGCTAATAAAGCAAAACCAAGACATCAAAACAACTTCGTCGAGTTATCAGAATTCACCCAGTGCAAACAGCAGAGTCAAGATATCCTTAACACAAACACACAGTAATGAAAGTGCACACAGTGCAAGATGTGTACAGTGCGTCTTACCTGCACGTCAGGGATTGACCGCACTCCATCACACAACTGCTGCCTGCAGGTGCACGGTCTGCTCTTCTTCCACGGAACCAGACCAGTCCAACCCCCGTACCTGTTAACAAAGATGTCTACAGGTCATAGCCCGAGTAACACACCCGCAACAAGGAACGAGTAACAAAAGTCCACAGAGTGCAAGGAGTATACAGATTGCAAGTCTCATTACCTCCAATGCTTGGGTTGGCCGCAGTGTATCCCTGAACCCTCTGCACTTCTTCCGGCAGGCCGCAGTCCGCACTCTGGATCCAGAACAGCCAAACCAGGACCTGTTTTAACAGCAAATGTGCAGTAGTCAAACAAGTGTGCTTAGACCAATGAAAACAGTAGAAATGAAGAAACTCCACAGAGTGCGAGGCGTGCACAATGCATCTTACCATCCTTGGGTTGGCAGTCTCCTCTTCACACCCCTGGGGGTAGAGGGCTGCATCACACTGCATCTCTACAGTAGAAAGACGAGACATCAAGAGAGGTCACAATCTGCTTCAAGTGAGATGAGAGAAAAACAATCAACACAGTTAATACAGGTTTAAGACATGAATCTTACCCTCTCTTCAATGAGCGGTCGCAGTCGATCCCTGCTCTCCAGAGTGCTGCTGTACGTCTCGGTGGGATCGACGCTCCTGAAAACACACAAAGTCAGGAGGTCAAAGGAGCACCCTAGCTGCTCTGATCAAGTTATAATGCAAAACAGGAATCCAGAAGTGCTACACAGGCAGCCTGTTACTCACCGCTTTGGCCAATGTTGGCCGCTAGACAGGGCTGGGCCATGGGGTCGTCTCCGTCTGTGGGCTGGGCGGCTGGCTGCTTCGGCGGCGTCCCTCGTCCGGGTCCCTGAAAATACACAACTGAGAAGAGATTAGTAAACATTCAAAACAGTGAAACAAAGCACAGAAATTCACAACAAAATAAGTTGAAAAACAAGTTAGCAGATGAAGACAGTTAGATCAGGAAAGGGCATAAAGGGGGGATTAAGGGGAAGGGGGGATGGTTAGTTATGTTAGATTAGGGGAAGTGCTTAGGAGACAGAGAAGAGAAGAAGAGACAGAAGGAAATAAATTCAAAAAGCTTCTCTATTAGGCTTCCTGGTTGCGGAATTGGATCCTGGACTTCTGCTGGACTTCTGCTGGGCTCTGCTGTTTGCTGTGCGTCCTGTCAACTGGAAGTCAAGAGGTCAAAGGCTGATACGATCGACATCAATTGGCAAGGAAAAGATCATGAAAAGCTGCAACAAGTAGAGTGTGAATCTTACCTCCTCTTCTCTACTTGACTGCAGTTGGGATCCGTCCGGGTCAGCATACACCTCCTCTTCGGCTAATAAAGCAAAACCAAGACATCAAAACAACTTCGTCGAGTTATCAGAATTCACCCAGTGCAAACAGCAGAGTCAAGATATCCTTAACACAAACACACAGTAATGAAAGTGCACACAGTGCAAGATGTGTACAGTGCGTCTTACCTGCACGTCAGGGATTGACCGCACTCCATCACACAACTGCTGCCTGCAGGTGCACGGTCTGCTCTTCTTCCACGGAACCAGACCAGTCCAACCCCCGTACCTGTTAACAAAGATGTCTACAGGTCAAAGCCCGAGTAACACACCCGCAACAAGGAACGAGTAACAAAAGTCCACAGAGTGCAAGGAGTATACAGATTGCAAGTCTCATTACCTCCAATGCTTGGGTTGGCCCCAGTGTATCCCTGAACCCTCTGCACTTCTTCCGGCAGGCCGCAGTCCGCACTCTGGATCCAGAACAGCCAAACCAGGACCTGTTTTAACAGCAAATGTGCAGTAGTCAAACAAGTGTGCTTAGACCAATGAAAACAGTAGAAATGAAGAAACTCCACAGAGTGCGAGGCGTGCACAATGCATCTTACCATCCTTGGGTTGGCAGTCTCCTCTTCACACCCCTGGGGGTAGAGGGCTGCATCACACTGCGTCTCTACAGTAGAAAGACGAGACATCAAGAGAGGTCACAATCTGCTTCAAGTGAGATGAGAGAAAAACAATCAACACAGTTAATACAGGTTTAAGACATGAATCTTACCCTCTCTTCAATGAGCGGTCGCAGTCGATCCCTGCTCTCCAGAGTGCTGCTGTACGTCTCGGTGGGATCGACGCTCCTGAAAACACACAAAGTCAGGAGGTCAAAGGAGCACCCTAGCTGCTCTGATCAAGTTATAATGCAAAACAGGAATCCAGAAGTGCTACACAGGCAGCCTGTTACTCACCGCTTTGGCCAATGTTGGCCGCTAGACAGGGCTGGGCCATGGGGTCGTCTCCGTCTGTGGGCTGGGCGGCTGGCTGCTTCGGCGGCGTCCCTCGTCCGGGTCCCTGAAAATACACAACTGAGAAGAGATTAGTAAACATTCAAAACAGTGAAACAAAGCACAGAAATTCACAACAAAATAAGTTGAAAAACAAGTTAGCAGATGAAGACAGTTAGATCAGGAAAGGGCATAAAGGGGGGATTAAGGGGAAGGGGGGATGGTTAGTTATGTTAGATTAGGGGAAGTGCTTAGGAGACAGAGAAGAGAAGAAGAGACAGAAGGAAATAAATTCAAAAAGCTTCTCTATTAGGCTTCCTGGTTGCGGAATTGGATCCTGGACTTCTGCTGGACTTCTGCTGGACTTCTGCTGGGCTCTGCTGTTTGCTGTGCGTCCTGTCAATTGGAAGTCAAGAGGTCAAAGGCTGATACGATCGACATCAATTGGCAAGGAAAAGATCATGAAAAGCTGCAACAAGTAGAGTGTGAATCTTACCTCCTCTTCTCTACTTGACTGCAGTTGGGATCCGTCCGGGTCAGCATACACCTCCTCTTCGGCTAATAAAGCAAAACCAAGACATCAAAACAACTTCGTCGAGTTATCAGAATTCACCCAGTGCAAACAGCAGAGTCAAGATATCCTTAACACAAACACACAGTAATGAAAGTGCACACAGTGCAAGATGTGTACAGTGCGTCTTACCTGCACGTCAGGGATTGACCGCACTCCATCACACAACTGCTGCCTGCAGGTGCACGGTCTGCTCTTCTTCCACGGAACCAGACCAGTCCAACCCCCGTACCTGTTAACAAAGATGTCTACAGGTCATAGCCCGAGTAACACACCCGCAACAAGGAACGAGTAACAAAAGTCCACAGAGTGCAAGGAGTATACAGATTGCAAGTCTCATTACCTCCAATGCTTGGGTTGGCCGCAGTGTATCCCTGAACCCTCTGCACTTCTTCCGGCAGGCCGCAGTCCGCACTCTGGATCCAGAACAGCCAAACCAGGACCTGTTTTAACAGCAAATGTGCAGTAGTCAAACAAGTGTGCTTAGACCAATGAAAACAGTAGAAATGAAGAAACTCCACAGAGTGCGAGGCGTGCACAATGCATCTTACCATCCTTGGGTTGGCAGTCTCCTCTTCACACCCCTGGGGGTAGAGGGCTGCATCACACTGCATCTCTACAGTAGAAAGACGAGACATCAAGAGAGGTCACAATCTGCTTCAAGTGAGATGAGAGAAAAACAATCAACACAGTTAATACAGGTTTAAGACATGAATCTTACCCTCTCTTCAATGAGCGGTCGCAGTCGATCCCTGCTCTCCAGAGTGCTGCTGTACGTCTCGGTGGGATCGACGCTCCTGAAAACACACAAAGTCAGGAGGTCAAAGGAGTACCCTAGCTGCTCTGATCAAGTTATAATGCAAAACAGGAATCCAGAAGTGCTACACAGGCAGCCTGTTACTCACCGCTTTGGCCAATGTTGGCCGCTAGACAGGGCTGGGCCATGGGGTCGTCTCCGTCTGTGGGCTGGGCGGCTGGCTGCTTCGGCGGCGTCCCTCGTCCGGGTCCCTGAAAATACACAACTGAGAAGAGATTAGTAAACATTCAAAACAGTGAAACAAAGCACAGAAATTCACAACAAAATAAGTTGAAAAACAAGTTAGCAGATGAAGACAGTTAGATCAGGAAAGGGCATAAAGGGGGGATTAAGGGGAAGGGGGGATGGTTAGTTATGTTAGATTAGGGGGAAGTGCTTAGGAGACAGAGAAGAGAAGAAGAGACAGAAGGAAATAAATTCAAAAAGCTTCTCTATTAGGCTTCCTGGTTGCGGAATTGGATCCTGGACTTCTGCTGGACTTCTGCTGGACTTCTGCTGGGCTCTGCTGTTTGCTGTGTGTCCTGTCAATTGGAAGTCAAGAGGTCAAAGGCTGATACGATCAACATCAATTGGCAAGGAAAAGATCATGAAAAGCTGCAACAAGTAGAGTGTGAATCTTACCTCCTCTTCTCTACTTGACTGCAGTTGGGATCCGTCCGGGTCAGCATACACCTCCTCTTCGGCTAATAAAGCAAAACCAAGACATCAAAACAACTTCGTCGAGTTATCAGAATTCACCCAGTGCAAACAGCAGAGTTAAGATATCCTTAACACAAACACACAGTAATGAAAGTGCACACAGTGCAAGATGTGTACAGTGCGTCTTACCTGCACGTCAGGGATTGACCGCACTCCATCACACAACTGCTGCCTGCAGGTGCACGGTCTGCTCTTCTTCCACGGAACCAGACCAGTCCAACCCCCGTACCTGTTAACAAAGATGTCTACA